TTATGGAAGGATTTGTGGTAGTACAAAAGTATTTTTTTCTTGATATTAGAATAACACATATTATAATTTATTGTTTACTGTTTTAAAAAAAATCTAAATAATTATTTAAATTAAATGGAAGCAAATGGCAACATAACATTTACCAGCTGTTTATTTTTATGGTGATGACTGTTAAATAGGCACTTTTATAAATGATCAATTTTGAAATAAAATTTACTCTATTCATTTTTTCACTAAGTAAATAATGTCATTCAAATAATATTTGAAGATTGATATACATGCCAAACAATTCATATGGTCTGAGATCTAAACTTTAAATTTTGTATTCATTTATCTGCATAAAAAAATATATTTCAGTTGTTAAATAAATAACATTCGTAGACCACAAAGGCCAAAGACGGGATCTACATGAGTTGTGATGATGTTTGTAGGCCATACAGGATAAAGTTTGAAGCACTGAGTTATGTACCACATAGAATGTAGTTTGTCATATAGTTCTTAGTAGGGGCAGTAAGGAGAGAGATTCAAGAGTTTGAAAAAAACCATTGTATCGTAAGCGTGGCTGATGTAAGCAGTTATTGTTGGGTTCGTTGCTACACCGTCATCGGGGTGCGCATTGCCTCATCTTTGGGGTGTGTCGTTTACTGCTATGTAGGGTGATTCTTTGTTCTGCATATGTGATTCTCCAACACACGTTTTGACTCCACAAGTAATTTCATTGTAAGAAGTGGGTGGCAACAGATGGTGATCGACGATGGCCGACAAATGGTGGTCGGCGGTTGGAGGAGTGATCAATGTTTGCTAACCTTCGGTGAAGAACACATGGGTTTTACTCAGTATCCTCCAAGCTTAGCTCTTCCTCTGGTTCAAGGTTTAGGTCCATGGTCTCGATCCCCTCTCAAGAGGGCAGTAAGGCACTACTGGGAAAAACCTCCCTAAAATAAGAAAGGAATTTGAACTACTCTATCAGAGGGCCCATAGATGTTCCCTCGATCGAACGACATTTTGTGAACAATTGAGTGTCTTAATGATGTCAGAATTGAGTGATCATAGGCTCATTGTATTTGTCCTGTCGAGATGTTCAGTTTGACAATAATATTGTCAAATTTAAAATTCATTTGACATTCCAATTAGGCCCCGAAAGCTTTCAAAGACAGCTTATAATTAATGAATTAACCCAGGATTGATTTGATTTAGGTTAGTTAACTTTTGTGATCATCATGTCTGTCTTGTCTAGCCGATCACTTTGATTTTAACTTTATTGAAATTATAGTTCTAAATGATTTTTAATTTGAATTTGAATGTTACTTGACAAGAAAGGAGCTTTAGTGGCCCTTGCTTTACGTAGTGCAATAACAAGGCTGAAAATAACCGTATTTGGGTGCGGCATGACCGCTTCTTAGTTAACACAGTGGGCTTTGATCTCTTTCCAAATATTCATGTCAAGTATCTTTTGCATATTGCATCAGATCATTTATCCATCCTCCTCATGTTTCATTAGATGGAGCATCCCCATCTATAGAAATGGATCAATTTTAAAGATGCCTGGTTATCCTATCTGAAGGCTTGGAGAAAGCTAGCTTCGAGGTCTAGGCTGAGATCCTCTCCAATAAATAAAGTAGAATCTTGAAGGCCTTATATTATTGAAATAAATACAAAATGAAAAAGTTGGGATCTTTTAAAATGTCAAATAGAAATGGTGATTAATAATTAACAACACATGGAATGTGCTGAAGGTGGCCTCCAACTGGAGCAAGTGGAAGTATTGTGGGCGAACGTCCACGAGTTTAACATTGTTCTGAACCAAATTACCTCTTTGCGGTAGCAAAGGGCTAAAGTGTGATGGTTGAAGGAAGGAGGTGCTATCTCCCATTTTTTCCACTCAGTTGCAAGTGGTGGGAGGAATTCAAACGGTGTTAAATGCATTTAAAATGCAGATAGGGCATCGTTCGATGATCCCCACGTGATTGCTAAAAATTTTTCTCAATTTTTCTAATGAAATGGGAGGAAAAGGAGATTATTTTGTCTAATTGGCTTGCTCTTCATCCCCCCACTGCTCAAATGTGCATATTTGAGGATCTCTTAGTCATGAGGTTACATATGAAGAAATTTGGAATACGGTTAGGAGCATGGGTGCCAATCTTTCTCATGGATTGGATGGGATAACAACCTCCGTGAGGTGTGTGTGTTGCTGTGCAGGAATTCTTCTTGATTAGAAAAATGACGTTGGAATGAAAAGATGCCCTGATTGTAATTACTCCTAAGGTTGAGAATGCTAATCTTCACACCAATTTTAGACCTATCAGCTTATGTCAATCCACTTACAAGATTGTGGCAAAGATCCTAGTTAACAGGTTCAAAGGGCTTCTTCTGTTCTTAATCTCCAATGAGCAAGGTGTGTTTGTTCCTAATAGGTCCATATCTAATCACTGTCTTTTGGCTTAGGAAATGATGAGCAAGTTCCAACATTCCACTTCCTCTATAGGTTTCTTGGCTAACATAATGAGCTAGAAGACTCTTTGAAGGGTTAAGAGTTGCGGCTTCCGACAAGGTGCTCGTTGTCTCCTTATTTATTGTGGTCTAAACTCCTATCTAGAGTGTTGCAATGACATAGAAGTCTGTTCAGGATGGCTATGTCTCCACAAGGAACCCGTGTCACTCACTTCTTGTATGCTGAAGACATCCTGTTTTTTTAGAAAGCCTCCATTGGAGCGGCCTGAAATCTTAAGGCTAAGGTTGATAATTCTAAGGCAGGACTGGGGTTCTCAAATTGTTGATTAATTAAGCTAGAAAGCCTTGAGTTGGAGAACAAACAAGATCTCCAGGTTCTTGTAGATAAGAGGGTTGAGGAGCTTGAGTATTTGGGGATCAAACTCTACATGAGGAGACTTACTGTTGTTGATTTTAATGACCTTATAAACTAGGTAATTGATAAGGTTCAAGGTTGTGGAAATTGCCATTTGCTTCTCATGGGGAGGACCACTTTGATCAACCACCTGTTTCTTCTTATGCCCACCTATTTCATTTAGCATTATGATCCTCCTAAATTTTTTTTATGGGACAATATTTTTGGGACAAAGACAGAAGCTAGAGAGGCCTACACTTTATGTCATGGAGAAAGATGTGCACCCTGAAAAATTATGGCGGTATGGGGCTTCAGACGACTGTTACTTGTACGTGCCCTTTGTGGGCTTGCTTAGCTTAGAAATTCCTTACTAACTTGCAGTTTCTCTTATAATTGCTTAGTGGAGAAGTATGGAAAAAATATTTGGGATCAGCCTAATAAACGAATGGACTCGATTATGTGGAAAATCATTATTAGTGGAGCGACTTTACTCAGTAAAATCATTAGGTGGGATGTGGGAAATGATGAAAACATTGACAACTTACTTGACAAGTGGATTCTTGACCAACAACAAAATAAGTGGCCTACCCTGGTGGATGTCTAAACCAAAAACATGTAGATTTCTACACTGATCTTTGATAGCCAGTGGGCTGAGGGGATGCTCCATCAATGTTTTGGGGAGGAACTTTGTAGGATCATTCAACAAGTATAGTTTCCATGCCAGGAGCAAGTTGACAAGATTATGGTCTTTCCTACATACTTGGGGAAGTCTGTCATGGCTTTGGCCTATGATAGTTTGTTCAAACAACAACCTCCGTTTGATTGTTGGTTCTGGAAGCTTAAGCTTTGCACTCGTGAGGCTTTGTTTTGGAGGTGAGTCTTTATGGATGCAATCCCGACCAACTCGCGGCTATTTAGAAGAAGGATTGGTGAGGACACCACTTGCCCTTGGGGATGTCAGGATGCAGGAGATCGTGATAATGTGGTTATTAAGTGTGAAGTCCTTGTTGTCATTCCCCAATCCTTACAAATATGGGGTGTTGGGATTGCTAATTTTAGTTACTTTGATGATATTTGTAAAGAGATGGGTGCCTTCTTAAAGCTCTGAGGTTGGTGGGGAAGATTTTTCAGTTCTGCGATTTATCATAGTTGGAGAGCTAGAAACTTTAAGAAGTATGGACAGCCCTTCGAAACACCGGTGGTCAAGGCAGCTATGATCCTATCTTCCCTTACCATCACTCAGTCTTCTACTATTTTGGAGCGCTTGGGAACCTCGCAGCCATTTAGGCTTTATTCCCTTTTATTTTTGGAGCCCTCCCTCTCAGGCTGGTTGAAACCTAATGTTAATTGGGCTCTTTTGCCTTTCGGCCTTGCTAGCAAGGAAGTTATCATTTGGGACGAAATTAAAAATTACTTGTTGGTTGTTGGTCGAAGATTGTTGCATTGTGACGGTACACATGTTGAACTCGAGGCAATGTTGTTCCTTGCTTCTTTACTTCAGCCTTGGATGTATGAGTCCTGCAGGATCACAGTGGAGTGGGGCAAAAACAACATTATTGATCTTCTCCGTAGCACGTTGTATATGAAAACCTGACCACACCAACCTCCTCATTTGCCTAACTCGGGCTTTCTTACTGTGTTTAGACATGTTCTTTTTTGTCATATAGGTAGATCTTACAACTCCGCCGCTCATTTTTGTGCTCACTCAGCTTTCGAGAGAGACTTTGTTCTGTCTTGCTTAGATGAGAGTCATCATCTTTTTTGTTTTTTTAAATAGTGGTAGACCGCCTTGTACCTCGCTTCATAGCCTTCTTTTGTAATTTTTGTTCTTTCCCTTTTAATACAATATGATCACTTATTAGCAATGGAAGTAGATAAGAATTGTATGATATATATGTAAAAGTCCCATATTTGCATTGCAGCCACTTCCAACTTAATATTTTGATTTGTGTAGAAACCTATAAATTCAATGATATAAACTTGATATTTAACTGAAAGTTAGCTAATGCCACCTAAACAGAAACCAAGCTGTGAACTAATCATACGGGAGTCATTAATTATTTCATATATAAAAATAAGTAAAGAAAAAAAGAAGATTAACAAATCAACAAACCGAGACTGATCGATTCCATGAAAATTTGCCAATCAGACGAACCCATTTTCTTATAATTATTCCCACCCTCGGCTCCATAGAATCAGGAAGACCAGAATTATCATTTTGCATTTTTTTTTTTGGATTATCGAGCAAATCTTTTTTTGGTATCATGAGTAAATCTCTCAATTATCAGATGATGCTTTTGCAATTCCTTGCTCTGTATTTTTTGCCAAAAAAAATAAGAAAAAAGATTTAATTTATAAACCCTGCCTTAAAACACTCATCAAACCTCAAATCGAGCTCCAACCCTACAAGAGATTCAAAAAGGAACAATCTTGGGACATAATTCCTTTTTTTCCCCACATCTTCTTCTTTATTCTCCTATGTTCAATCATCATAGCTCGCCGGAATGGCGAGCGGAATCCCAAAGTAAATTAATCAGTTCTTCTCAAGTCGCGCAAGCAGAGCACACCGGAGACTCTCTTCTCCCTGTTGGGCATCGGGAACGTGAACAACCACATCCTGTATCACCATATCCTTCACTCCAGAAACCGTGGCGTGATGAACCAAGAGGTCGAGATCACGCAGAGCCGCCATTAGCCTCGCCGGAGGATGGCTTAAGTTCTCAGATTGAACCCTGATTATGGCGTCGGAGCAGAGAAGCTTCACCTCAACTTCAATGGTCGCCGGCCCGCCGCTTATGATGCTCCTCGGAGATCCACCTTTTTCCACCACTACCTCTTTCCTCGCTCGCTTAGCTTCTGCTTCCAGCTCCTCCACCTTCGCCCGCAAATCCTTGATGTACGAAACTGCATCTGCAAGAAGAGAGGCCTTGTCCATCCTCGACACATTGGGGACGACTGATCTCAGAGAGTAGAAACGATGATTAAGCTTCTCCCTCCGCTGCCTCTCCGCCTCCACGTGATTCACCGGATTCTCCCGCACGCTCCCAGGCTTTCTCCCCCTTTTCTTTGTCCGCCGACGCTCCGCCGTCCGCCCAGGATCCTCCGAATCGGAATGCTCGGAGTCCAAGGACGACGATAGACCGGCCAAGTTCCCGACTTGAGCCTTGTTTACGGCAGAGAGAACGGGATCAACGTCTTCGGTGGCGAACAAAAGGGAAGCTTGCTCGACGAGTGCCCAGCTCTCACCGACGACATCACCGGAGCCGAGCTCCAGAACGCCGCCAGCGGAGGGGATGAAGACGAGAGTCTCAATGCCGTGCAGCTGCGCTTCACTGGAACGATCGCAGCCGCAGGTTTGCAGAGCGTGAGCGCCGGCTAACCAGACAGGAGCCAGGGATGTGTAAGCGCGAGCGGGTGCCGTCGCGGAGTCTACTGAGAAAGAGCGAGTTAAGGAAACCACGTAGAACCACTCAGCGTCGTCACTGTCGTTAGCGAGATCACCGGCGGCAGTTACAGAGGCCGCGTCGGCTGAGTGCTTCCGGTCGTCGTCGCGGGTGCCGCGAAAATGGCCGTCGCCGAAGCAGAGGAGAGTGCGATCAGGGGAGGCGCGCCAGAATATGGCGTAGGTCCACCATTGGGGTAGGGAGTGAAGAAGGTATTGAAGGGCGGGCTGCGGCGGCGGCGGCGGAGGTTCGGATAACTGGACGGTAATGGGGGTAATGGGGTGAATGGAGAAGAAGGGGGGTGGAGGCGGGGGGTGTGGAGGGGAGCAGGATGAGGAGGGGGGGAGGAGGTATTCCATTGGGGAGATGAGCTCTTCCATTGCTGACCAGGGAGTGGGGTTTGCGACTGAGCTGGAAAAGTGAAAGCAGGGGAAAAGGGTGTTTGTCGGTTATTTGGGTGGGGGAGGGGAAAGGAGGGGGAGGAGAAAAGCTTGGCGATCGGGTTGGGTTCGCGGTCGGCCTGCCTCGCGGCAACATATAACCTGATGGGAGTGATGGGCCGTCCGGCACGTGCTCACAAAGGTGCCGAGGAAAACCGTGAATCGTAAATTTGTGATAAATGTACTATTATTATTATTATTATTATTAATTTTTTGTAAATTGTTTCAGAAAATAAAATCAATTTTTACGAAGATAATATATAATTTTGAAATTTATTATATCTAACTTGATGAGTGCTAGAAAATTTACGACGGTAGAGTAAGGGATTATCGTCTTATCGTTGCGCGAGGATTCAACACACACTCAGATTAAAATGAATCAAGCTGTGATAACATCAGAAGTTTTTACGTGGAAAACCCGTAAAGGGAAAAAACCACGGGGACTGACCCAGTTGTAACAATTCACTATAAGTTGATGATTATAGATGCCCCTTCCCACAGGCGGGAAAAAGTTACTAGCTTTCCAAATTACAACGTCGACTGACGACATCTAGTCAGCGGTGGTTGACGGAGGTCGGCGGTGATCGACGGTAGTTGACGACAATCGATGACAGTCGGCGGTGGTAGGAGGCGATCAACGGTCCAGAGGGCGCCTCTCATGTGAGGGGTGTGACTATATTTATAGTGTTTTAAGTGCAATTAATGCAGAAATTTGAACCATTTTGATCGGACGGTCTGGAGCGCTTTCCTTGATCAGAGCATACGGGGTCCATATGAACGACGTTTGATGGTCATTTGAGTGCTTTAAAGATGTCGGAATTGAGTAATCTTGGGCTCGTTGGATTCGTCTTTTCGAGACGCTCGATTCGACTATAAACTCGCTAGATTCGACATATGTTTGACCTTTCAAATGCCTCTGAAAATCCTCCAATACTGGTTTAATGATTTCAACATCCGTTTAACCTTTCAAATGCCTCCGGAAATCCTCCAAGAGTGGTTTGATGATTTGATCTGGGCTTGATTTGACTCGGATTAGACTGAATTTCATATCATTAGGTCCGTCTCTTCGAACCGATCAGTTTGACTATAAATTTACTGAAATCGGAGTTCCGGATGACTCTTAATCGAAGTTTGAATGTTTTTTTAAAAAAAATTGTATTGAGATTCGTGCCGGATGATGAAAATTTGTTGGTTGCGTATTAGTTGCCCCTTTATTTTTTGGCGAAACAATTTTTTTTTTCGTTCGAAAATATTAATATCCATAGACTTTTCATAGAAGACATAAAAAATTTAATCATATATACTTTATTGCTATAATATGTAAATAAGAATAATCTTTATCATTAATAAACTAGTAAGTTGAGTATGACTCAGTTGGTATGTGGTTTTTGCCGCTTGTAAGTGGTGGGAGTTCAAAACTTGACCTGTCACCCGATGGTCAGATCACATGTGACCCGGCGGGCCGATCGAGACCTGATGGACCGGGAGTCTGGAATCTGAAGCGGGCCACGGAGAGAGGGAAGCCGAAGAGAGCCCAAACAGTAGGAATTAATTATTTATTAATTAAATTAAATTTGGAGAGTTTAATAAGCTCTTAATTAATTAAAAGAATCCAAAACTGACTTTTGATTTTAAAGGGAAGCTGAAGCACCAAGAATTAAATAAAAACATACATTTAAATTTACTTTTTTTTTTAAATCACAAAATGTGAAGAAGAGTTTTTTTTATATTAATTTATTTTAATTATCAGTTGTTTTAATTTTAATTAATTTCAGTCATAAAAATAGAATTTAAAAGATCAAAAATAGAAGGAATATGAAATGAAAAGTTTTTTTTTCTCTTTTTTTTAATAAATAACTATTTTTTATGCCGCATTAATTTTATCATGAATATGAAGAGATTTTTCAGCCTCTAAATAAACCAAGGTGAGGAGAAAAAAGGCGGGGTCCTCGTCCCTGCCTAGAAGATGATATGAGATTTTCCAAAAGAAGAAAGTCATCATCGCCCTATGTAGCAGGCAAGCAATGAGATCTTCTTTCTCGCGGTGAAGTGTTGCGGCGAAACGTTGCGGCGAATAGTTGCGGTCAAGTGTTGCGGCGAAGAGTTACGATGAAACGTTGTGGTGAAATGTTGCGGTGAAGAGTTGCAGCGAAACGTTGCGCTCGTCCTATGTAGCAGGCAAGCAATGGGATCTTCTTTCTCGCGGTGAAGTGTTGCGGCGAATAGTTGCGGTCAAGTGTTGCGGCGAAGAGTTACGATGAAACGTTGTGGTGAAATGTTGCGGTGAAGAGTTGCAGCGAAACGTTGCGGCAGAGCGTTGTGGCGGGGTGTCGCGGCGATGCTTTGAGGCCTGGTGTCTCGACCACGCGACACATTGTGGTGGAGCATCACATATTCCGGAGGAGATTCTCATGCTGCTCTGGCACGTTCTGAAAGTGATGAAGAAATGATGTAGTTTTCTCACCTCGCCATGAAGGGGGGATTTTTATGCCCATGTGGTGGCGATATCTGGAGACTCCTTGACGATCAGAAATACTAAAATTTTTGAAAAGCGATGCCGACTCTAATTGAAAATGAACTAATTTATTATAGCCCTTGTACATGTATGTGTCGGTATTTGTAGTTTTTTTAATCTTCTGATGTGACAATTGTAGATGATAATAATGTATTTTTTTTATTGCTTCCACGGTTGTCGTGGCTTCTTAATTGTGCAAAGTTCTTCTGAGACTCGTAGACTTCTAAGGAATTTTTATGCACTTGTGTCTTCTGAGGTTTGTAGCCTTCTGAGGTCATTGATGTATCTGTGCCTTCTGAGGCTTGTAGCATTCTAAGGTCTTTGAGTGAAGACACTGTCAACCACTTGCTCTCATGGAGTCTTTCTAGTGAGGACCCTGTTCACAACTAGCTTCTCATCGAGACTTGCCTCTTGGGCTCATCTTCCAGGGGTATAGTAGCTTCTCATCGAGTCTTGCCTCTTGGGCTTGATTTTTAGGAGTACCATATCTTCCCGTTGAGTCTTGCATCTTGGGCTTGACTTTTAGGGGTATGGTAGCTTCTCATCCTCAAGGAGGCTTTCTACACAAAAATCTTTCTTGACAAAATAAGAAAATTTCATTGAAATGATATTTTAAAGCAACATAAAAATTTTTCTAAAATAAAATTAAGAGTTTATAAGCGAGTCATTTACTCAGTTAATATGAGTTGGAGCTATATTTCTCATTCGATAACTCTCATTCAATAACTCCAACAGTTCTCTTTTGGTTCCCCTCACATTATTCTTGTAAGTAGCGACCTAGGTGACATTGGCGTATTAGACGTTCAATTTCTTCCTTTAATTGAAAACAACATTCTGTTGAATGTCCTTTGCTCGGTGGAAATGACAATATTGAGACTGGTCTCCACCATTTGGATTTCTTAACGGCTTTGGCCACTTAATAGTATCTTCATCATTGTTTGTCATTGAGATGTTAAAACGTGACGTGTTGAGTGGCGTGTCTTCTTTTTTCTGATCGTTGCTCACGATTCCCATGTGGTCTAAAATTTTTTCGCTGTGAGATTTGATTGGTATCCTCAACGTTATTCTTGTGCTTTCCCCCAATAACTCAAATTGTTCTTTGTGAGCAATGATGTCGTCTTCTGCAGAGATTTGTGCCTCAACACGGTGAACAAGGTCATCATAAGAATGTACCGTCTTCCGCTTCAACGACGAGTAGAAAGGCCTTGGGCGGAGCCCCCCAAGAAAGACTCCTCTTAGTAACTCTGGATCTACTCCCGGGATCTGCCGGACTTCAGTAGAAAACCTGCAAAAGGAGTCTTTGAGTGACTCTCCTTCACTTTGACGAATTTCTAAGAGATGGGATGAAAGGATGAATCCTTGATGAACCTTCGATTTGCGATGAACTGCTCGGTGAACAGTTTTGCAAGCTTGTTAAAGATGTTTATAGTGCCCCTTGGCAGATAGTAGAACCAAGTTCGAGCTTGTGCTTTAAGAGTAGCCGGAAACACTTGACACAGAAGCGCATCAGAGGCATGCTGAATGTGCATGATAGTTCGATAATGATCAATATGCTCGTAAGGGTCGGTTGTCCCTTCATATGTATCGATGCTCGGAAGCTTAAAGCCTGTTGGGATGGGGTGTTGGAGGACCGCATCCGCTAAGGGAGAAGATTCATGGATGTTACTGTGAGCGTAGAAGCGATCCTTTTTCTCTAAGGGGAACCCTTCCCGAACGAGGCGTCATAGTTTAATACGAATGACATTATCTGGAATGACAGGAAGATTTGGCGATGTCAGGTGTGCTGCACGAGATGGATGAGTGGAACATGCTGTATCTAGGAGTTCAACATCACAACATGATAGGGGATGTGTTCCTTCTTGAAGAGGGAGGTCAGCATGAGCGGTATGTTTCTTGTACTTCGCGGAGTTAATGGCAAACAAATTTCATCCAATGGTGTAGGCAGCAATTGTTGAGCCTCGTGTAGGAGCTGTAGGATCTCTAGTTGAGACTCATCCATTTTACGTATTAGATCTTCTATTGAAGGACCCGAAACACCTTCATTGGCAGGATATCGTCTTCCAGGGCGGGAGATAAAGAAGCATGTCGTCCTTGGCTTCGTGACTGCTCCTTGGAACGATGAGTGTTGGAGCGAGATGCTTCATTGTCATGAACATTGTGTCTGGTGGCCATGCAGTAGACTGCGTAAGTACTTTAGTTGTGGGATTGAAACTTTCCCACAGACGGTGTCAAACTGATGCGTGCTAGAAAATTTGCGGCGGTAGAGTAATGTATTATCGTCTTAGCGTTGTGCGAGAATTCAACACACACTCAGATGAAAATTAATCAAGTTGTGATAACACCAGAAGTTTTTATATAGAAAACTCGTAAAGTGGTAAAACAACGGGGCCAGACCCAGTTGTAAAAATCCACTATAAGTTGATGA